AATACAAATACAATTGAATTTATAGTTATCAGAGGAGTGAGTGAATACACGACCAGTACTATCAGCGAGGAACTAAATGCTTAATCTATTACTTAAGATATAATATATCTTAAAATATTAGGCAAATAAATAGCGATTCATTGTATGTGTTGTATAGATAGTGGTAAAGAAAAAAATAAATTTATTTTCAAAAACTACATTTACAAACAATATATCAAAATTACTCTTTGACTCTCATTCGGAATAAAAGTTTTCAACAGAAAATATATGACTTTTATCTTTTTCGACTCAAAAAACATATTTGCCTTCAAAACAGGTGTATTCACATATCAAACAGTTTTTTTTATGCATATTCGGGGTATTTCTAACATTTCATATATTCACTCACCAAACACTGTGTCAGTATTATACGAGTCTTTTATTTTTCGCCACAAACTTACGTAATATTGAGAGCATTACAAAATTGAGACTAAATTGACGGCACTGTTTGTATACATCATGTGCTCTATTGGTTCATCAAAACAACTTTTACACACTTCATGTACGGAGTCGTAAATACTTCAATCAAATGAATATTGCATTCAATTACACACACATTAAATATAACACATATCACAGAGAATATTCAAATATTATTATTTAACGACAAATGAATATATTAATCAAATTTCAGATATCTTAATATTCAGTATAGTTTTTTTTAATTCAAAATAAACTTTTTAATTATTTAAAAAGTTTTTTCAACCAAGGAATTAATATATTAATTGAATTTTAAGAATATACAGTATATTATGAAAATTGCATATAAAATATGAGTGCAATTAAACTTGCAATCAATGAATTTAATGACTTTGTTGTTCAATTGAACTCAAAAAATAAATAAATACATAATTTGATTGTTTTTCATCCGTATAGTCAGGCGGTGTGAGTGCAGAATAAACACAAAATTAAATAAAAAGTAAACAATTTTTTATGGGTCTGTCCTTCGGGGGCGGGATAGAGAGGGGGAGAGTGAGTGAGAGAGAGAGAGAAAGACAGAGAGAATAATAGATACGATTGTAACAAAAAAAGTTAAATTTCTTAAACACAGAGAAAAGACAAAAGTGGCATAAATTAGTGAGAAATAAGGAAAATATGAATTCCCATTATTTGGTTCGTTTGGTAGTAAATTTCATTAACATATCATTTGCTGGTAATACTGAGCATACTGTATATGATAGTAGAGAGAGAGAGAGAGAGAGAGAGAGAGAGAGAGTGCGAGGGGAGAGAAAAAACAACACAAACGACACATTCAGAAGAGGAAGAAGAGGATTGTTCCCAATCCCTGCCATTCCTTTGACGTCAATTGCCAGCGAAACGCAAAGCAAAAAATTCTTCAAATTGCTTAATGCATTCAAAATGCATTCAAAATGCTTTCAAAAACACTTTTATTGTTATTGTAATTTATATATAAATACATTTTTCAAATCATTTAATACACTTATAATAATAATAATAATAATAATAATAAGAGACTTCACTTCTCAAAAAACACATACAAAAGGCTTTTATAGCGATTAGTCTAAACTATAAAATTTATATATAAAACTATAAATTATACTTTAAGAGCTTATATTTTTTGTAGTATTTATTTTAGTTTTTTGTTATAACATTCGTTAAATTTAAATATTTATTTTATTTTTCGCTTGTTGTGTGAATTTTCTATTCAATTCGCTGTAGTTTTCTATTGTTAAAAGTTAATAAAAATAAGTTTTATATGCTTTTTTGTGTTAAGAGAACTCTATTTTTAGACTACAATAGAAAATAAATTACTTTTAATCACTCGTATGAATGACAGCGAAAGTAAATTTTAATATTTTTCAGATCTTTTATGACTTTTCCTTAGGCCTCAAACGACACATTCAGAAGAGGAAGAAGAGGATTGTTCCCAATCCCTGCCATTCCTTTGACGTCAATTGCCAGCGAAACGCAAAGCAAAAAATTCTTCAAATTGCTTAATGCATTCAAAATGCATTCAAAAACACTTTTATTGTTATTGCAATTTATATATAAATACATTTTTCAAATCATTTAATACACTTATAATAATAATAATAATAATAATAAGAGACTTCACTTCTCAAAAAACACATACAAAAGGCTTTTATAGCGATTAGTCTAAACTATAAAATTTATATATAAAACTATAAATTATAGTTTAAGAGCTTATATGTTTTGTAGTATTTATTTTAGTTTTTTGTTATAACATTCGTTAAATTTAAATATTTGTTTTATTTTTCGTTTGTTGTGTGAATTTTATATTCAATTCGCTGTAGTTTTCTATTGTTAAAAGTTAATAAAAATAAGTTTTATATGCTTTTTGTGTGTTAAGAGAACTCTATTTTTAGACTACAATAGAAAATAAATTACTTTTAATCACTCGTATGAATGACAGCGAAAGTAAATTTTAATATTTTTCAGATCTTTTATGACTTTTCCTTAGGCCTCAAGTGTAATGCTAACGTGTTTCGCGGATCGCATACCTTTCCCATTTATCAAATTAAATGTATGATCAAACTCAAACACAACTTGGAAAATGTAATGTTCAGCCAATTTACCAGTTATTTCCATTGGATAAAAAACAAATCATTTTTATGATTCAATTTGATTTAAATTATGAAATACTTTTCCATTTAGTTGGAAAAAACATTAGAAAAAACTAAAGAATATTTATCATGGAATTACTTGAAACCATATTTTGCATAACTTATAAATCTCTCTCTCTCTCTCTCTCTCTCTCTCACTCTCACTCTCACTCTCTCTCTCTCTCTCTCTCCAGCGATGGGTTGAGCTATCGGTCATTCGCTTCCATCGTCTCTTAAATCGGATTTTTCTCTCAAACTTAATATTCCTTACGATTAGTTAACACAATATATTGACGTCAAACGCAAATATTTATGAAATACTTGTATTATACAAGTGCTGAGTGAATGACGATTAGATTGCCATCGAATCTGATATTAAGATCTCATTCAAAAATTTTTTGATTGAAAAAACCTCTAATAAAAGAGCTCTTAATTCAAGGCTAAGTCCCGTCGAAAGAGTCGGGGAGTGAGAGGACTGTTTGACGGCTTNCTGAGTGAATGACGATTAGATTGCCATCGAATCTGATATTAAGATCTCATTCAAAAATTTTTTGATTGAAAAAACCTCTAATAAAAGAGCTCTTAATTCAAGGCTAAGTCCCGTCGAAAGAGTCGGGGAGTGAGAGGACTGTTTGACGGCTTCGCATATACTTTCCACTCGTTTAGGGGATCGAGTTATGCAGACCTCCAATGAATTGATTGACAATAAAAGCGCTTATGTTTCGTGAAATGTCATGAAACAAGTGTTTAAAAGTTGGCAAACATTTATTCATTAAAATCCAATCATTGCATAAAATTATTAAAATTTTCCATTTAATTATTAAATACATAAATTAAAATTGATATATAATCTGATTAAACAGTAAATCAATACTTATTTAAATAGCAAATCGAGAAAATAAATTGTTTTTTGAGTAAAATAAGGGGCAATTAAAAGACTCATTCATCAGAGACGTGTGAATAAAGCCAAACTAAAAAACAATTATAATTATAATGTATTAATATTATAAATATTGATCAGAAAAATATAAGTAAAAATTTCAGACACTTTTCTTACAGTTAAGGAATAAATGACAGATATATTCGAGGCCTTGAATTGTAGTTAAATTATATTTATAAATATAATGGCATTCGCATGACATACAACTCGCGAACTACTGTATTCTCTCTCTCTCTCTCTCTCTCTCTCACTCACTCACTCACACACACACATAAATCGGTGAAAATTTTTCAAAACTTTATACAAAACATCGAAAAAGAAATTAAATTATTGAAGAATCAATGAATACATCAATCAATACAACACTTAAAACTAGAACTCAAGAGTGAAATGAAAAGTCGTCTAAAAGATGGTGAGAACCGCTGTCTTACCGGAGATGGGATAGGATTTGCCTAAAAATAAAGCGAAACAAATGAAAATGAAATGAAAAAAACTAATCAAATGAAAGACTACGACAAAGAAGTGGCTATAAAACTGTGGACACAGAACTACTGGGAGACAGACACTGAAGTGAGTGTTATGAAGACAATGGGAGACAATCGCAGGCCATGTCTCACACCAAAGACATACCAAATCGGATGACTTGATCTCTTGCGAGTCATCGTCGGCCATATCGTCTTTGGCGCCATCGTTACCACTGTTTAACGCGTCCGACGACTCGTTATCATCGGCGACGGCAACAGTCTTCGCGTGCGTCTCGCTATCATCAGTCACTTCAGTGTCCAATGGTTTCGCACTTTGTTTATCACTTGTCTCTGAGTTATCCGACATTTTTCAATGGATTCGCCAATTATTACATTGGATTCAATGAGACAATTGTCACCGAAATGGAGTGATTCGAGCGAACGGTTTGTTCCCGAAAGTGATGATCAATGGACTGATTGTGTGGTGAATGTCTTGAACAGAGAGTGCAATCAATTGATGGCTGAAACCTCTTTCGCTTTTATCTCTCATTTTAGACCAATATATCAATTACGACCACAAATGCCAAACACATGGATCCGTTCACTTGGCCAGTCTTACACCCATCTGATCCCCATTACTCGATGGTCAACACCATCATCGCCATCACATTCATCGCGGTATTTGTTTAATTAATTTTTCCAATCATTTAATTCATTAATAAAACTATTATTTCATTCAACATTGCGTTCATCCAATATACAGCCCACACCTAGATTGCGTTATTCTATTGTCAATTTTGTAAACCCCCATAATAACAGCCCCCATATCCCCATATTAACACATTGTAAACCCCCTCTAATAATACACTTGACCCACAAATATTCGTAACGTCCAGTAAATAGTAAAATAATCAAAGTTTGCGTGAATTAAAAGCCGTTCACATCTCTAATTGTTTTCAACTTTTGGCGCTTAAACTGTGTTTTGTATACAAAACCACACTTTGATTGCCACTAACTCTTGAGATAATCACCGAAAACCGCGTCCGCAAGACATAAGTGATGGTTGATTACGAGCGCCAGAATCTGCCGGAACTGCTTCAGGCCTACTATCGGCTACTGTTTCCGCACAAACTCTTTCATCGGTGGCTTTCGTACGACAATGGTTTGAGACAAATGAGACACATGTTAACCATGGGATGAAAAGCTAATGATAAATGTCTTTTTGTGGTCAGAAAACGGATACTTCGAGAGGCGGGAGTTCTCGTTCACTCTGGCGGGCGATATATACGTGAGGTATCAGTCTTTCGGTGACAGTCTGGAGATGGAGAGAGCGATCGTGTCTCGATGTCCCGAGAAGATAGACATCGGAGCCGTGTATAACATACGGCCCAAAGAGTCCAAAAGCGTGGGTTTAGTGGCCTTTAAGGCCGAACACCGGGAACTGGTGTTTGACATCGATATGACTGATTACGACGACGTGCGCACGTGCTGTAAGGGCGCCGACATATGTCCCAAATGCTGGCCTTTTATGATAATCGCCGCCAAAATCCTAAACCGTGCGCTTCGCGAGGACTTTGGTTTCCAACACTTACTGTGGGTTTATTCGGGCCGAAGAGGTATCCACTGTTGGGTCGCCGACCGGAGGGCCCGCAAACTGGGCGGCGACGCGCGCGCCGCTATCGTCGAGTACTTGAGTGTCATAGAGGGCGGAGGGTTTAAGGACAAGAAAGTGTCTTTCGATGGCACCCATAGTCTTCATCCGAGTATTGTGTCCGCTCTCAAGACAATCGACCGCTACTTCGATTCGGTGGTTCTCGACAAACAGAAACCTCTGGAAACGCCGCAACAGATGAACGCAATCGTCGATCTCTGCCCGGATTCGGCGCTTAAGGAGCAGCTGAAGACAGCGCTTCTCAATCCGAAGCTAAAGGACTCGACCGACCGATGGGACCAATTGGTGACCATCTGTGGCGGCTATTTCGACAAACTAAGCAAACAAAAGGCGTTCACTAAACTCAAAAATCGTCACTTTGTCGACGAATTGAAGCTCCAGTTGTGTTACCCACGGCTCGACATAAATGTGACAAAAGGTTTGAACCATTTATTGAAGACTCCGTTCTCTGTGCACCCGAAGACGGGCCGAATCTGTGTCCCCATTGACTTCAATGAAATGGATTCGTTTGATCCGTTCAAAGTACCCAACATTAGCTCACTTTGTCATCAAATCGATGACAAAAGCAGATCAGACGCACCCAATGAACGGTCCTATGAGAAGACAGATCTGCATAAATCGGTGAAAATTTTTCAAAACTTTATACAAAACATCGAAAAAGAAATTAAATTATTGAAGATTAAGGATAGCGACGATAAAATGGATTTTTAATTGATTTTTTAATGTCTCGTAATGTGTTTGAAAATGTTTTAATAATTGAAGAGTCATTTTAAAGTATGTAAGGAGTGAGTGAGTGTGTGTGTGTGTGTGTGTGAGTGAGAGAGAGAGAGAGAGAGAGAGAGATACAGTAGTTCGCGAGTTGTATGTCATGCGAATGCCATTATATTTATAAATATAATTTAACTACAATTCAAGGCCTCGAATATATCTGTCATTTATTCCTTAACTGTAAGAAAAGTGTCTGAAATTTATACTTATATTTTTCTGATCAATATTTATAATATTAATACATTATAGTTATAATTGTTTTTTAGTTTGGCTTTTATTCGCACGTCTCTGATGAATGAGTCTTAATTGCCCCTCATTTTACTCAAAAAACAATTTATTTTCTCGATTTGCTATTTAAATAAGTATTCATTTACTGTTTAATCAGATTATATATCAATTTTAATTTATGTATTTAATAATTAAATGGAAAATTTTCATAATTTTATGCAATGATTGAATTTTAATGAATAAATGTTTGCCAACTTTTAAACACTTGTTTCATGACATTCCACGAAACATAAGCGCTTTTATTGTCAATCAATTCATTGGAGGTCTGCATAACTCGATCCCCTAAACAAGTGGAAAGCCGTCAAACAGTCCTCTCACTCCCCGACTCTTTCGACGGGACTTAGCCTTGAATTAAGAGCTCTTTTATTAGAGGTTTTTTCAATCAAAAAATTTTTGAATGAGATCTTAATATCAGATTCGAT